AGAAACTAAATACATTCAATCAAAATGAGAGCAGACAGAATCTGGAACAGTTACCCATTGTAACCAATCAGTTTCTATTTTCCGTTTGTTCCGTTAATATTTGTAAATGAGAGAAGCTGATTGGTTGCCATGCACAACTGCTCCAGATTCTGCTGCTCCAATTTTGATAAATTCCCCTTAAAGTGTTCAAAATCTTACAGTTAATTTTCTTTAGAAAGACCTGGGTAGAAAAGGCTGTGTGCTGCCAGCATGCTTGTTTACTGTGGGTAAGCGGTTATCTCTCTGCAGAGGTCCAACACTCCTCATGCTGAGTTAGATCAAGAGTTCACAACTAGCAGGGAACATGAGCGTTGCTGATTGCAGAGAAGTAGGTCTGACTATGTAGAAGGTTTGCCAGACCTCTGCAGAGAGACATCTGGTTTCACACAGAGAGCAAGGATCCCACTCTGCAGCTGTTGGCAGGAGACAGGCTTTTCTACTCAGGCTGTGGCTGCTTTAGGCTTAGTTCACACCAAGCACGGATCAGCGTGCAGTTGCAGAGCAGATCCAGAGCAGGTGAAAAAAACTGCAGCAGACCCTATTTTACCTGCTTTACCTGGATCTGCTCTGGAACGCATCAAAAACGCATGCAAATGCATGGAACACACTGAAAGCCCATTTTAAACTTTTTAAAAAAACACTTTAAAAAAAAAACCGCGACCAAAAAAGCGTCAAAAACGCGTCAAAGACTAGCGTGCATGTGCAGAAACCTGACCGGATCTGCTCTGCATTTGGTGTGAACAAGGCCTTAGAAATAAAACATTGTGTAACACTTTATACGCCTTTTGTTTCAATGCACTTGGAATGTATTTAAAGGAGTAACTGCATTGGTTTCAATTAGCTAAATGTTTTACACACAATAGAAAACGTATACCGTATATATAATAACATTTTAATTATGTATACAGAATCTTTATTTTTCCACATAAGCTGTTAATATGTTTGCATCAATGACACAGTGTCCAGCCTGTGCATAACTGACTATACCCAAACATTCTGCTTGATGAGAGGGAAGGTATCCCTTCTGTATGTATCTCTATAATCTGATCTCCCCGCTATTCAGGTCTATTTCATAATGGTTTTTTGAGCCTGTAGGAAACTGCTTTTGTGCTATGGCTGCTACTTGTAAATCATATTTATTCACATGTAGTGTTTTTATATTTATTTTTAAAGTATATGGGCACTACAACTCACAGTACCATGCCCACGCTTGGACCAGGCTATAACTTTAATATTCATAAACAACTAGTGAAATCCCCTGTAATGAGTCACTAGTCACAAGATGAAATGTAAATCATAATGTATTTATTAAGAAATATTAAAAGACACCAACAACACACAATGATTCAAATCAATTACAAAGATTTAATAACAATTCCCTTCTCCAAATCTAAGTATAATGGGTAATCAGTGATATGAATGAATGATATACCCTAGGACAATTAAGTAAGGCAATAAAAGTATTCCCCCGCTTCTTTAGATCCAGATTTAATTAATACAATAAATATACCCTTATCAGTTCATATGTATAAAGACCATCAGTCACAGTTGTATGTAATGAAGTAGAATAATGAAGCAGAATCGTCAGTGAAGCTGGTTTAATTATAACAGCTGGAAACAAGCAACAGGCAAGTTTAAGGAATAGAAAGGTTATTTTATAAGAAATTGAAAAATAGTACCGTATAGGCCACAAGATGATTAGTTGCCAAAGCTAACATCAATGTAACTAACCTTAACCACTTGCTGACCGCGTTGTTACACCCCCTTCCTGTCCAGGCCATTTTTCAGTATTCAGCACTGCGGTACTTTGACTGACATTTATTCCGTCATGGAACGCTGTACTGAAATTAATTTTACATCATTTTTTGGGGACACAGAGCTTTCTTTTGGTGGTGTTTAATCACCACTGGGGTTTTTATTTTTTACTATATTAAGAAAACGTACCGAAAGTTTTGGGGAAAAAAATGTTTTCGCTACGTATTGTTATGAAACATTTATTATTACCCAATTTATTGCTAAAATATAAAAGATGGGATCATGTCAGGTAAATAGACACCAAACATGTAGTAAGTAAAACCAGGAACAAAAGGTATTCCTGCTGAGTGGCTTTACGGTGGTTATTAACAAACTCTTGAGTAAACCACATCCTCTTGGTTTGGATTTTACGACATCCAATGAGCCATTTGTGAAAACACCAGACTAGGGAATGTTTTGGCTGAACCATTTGGCTAATGGCTTGAATAACAATCTCTGGCTTTCAATGTTCTGGCTAAGTGCTGAGAAATGCTGTTTAGATTACTGCTAAAAGTCTTAAAGTAGTGTTAAGGTCTGGGCGTTTTTTACCTTAATGCCTTCTCTGCATTAGGGTAAAAACGGCCCAGCACCTTTTTTCTCCCCCAGTCCCCTCCACACTTACCTGTCAGCTGTGCTCGTCCCCGCCGCCGGTCCGAAGTGATCCTCCGTTCCCCAAACCTCCGGGTTGTGGGGAGGATACTGATGGGCTCAGCGTGCAGATGGCTTCGGCTCAGCACAAGCACTTCCTTTGCCTCACCATATTTTCGTGTATCCATCTTGATGTTCTCCTGAGATTATATCGTTTTATGCTCGTTTACACTGGCTGGTTTGTAAGTTCCTTTACAGCTGTCTTTTTTTATCCATAATAAATCAATTTTACACTATAGAGGCGCTCCTTTTGCTTTGTTTTTACTAGACTTCTGGTTTCCCTTAAATGTGAGGAGCTGCCCCTGTGTTTTTGGAGACTTTTTCAGGAGCAGCTACTGTTTTTGGTGCAGGTGATATATATATATCTATATATATCTATATATATCTATATATATACAGGTGAAACTCGAATAATTAGAATATCGTGCAAAGTTCATTTATTTCACTAATGCAACTTAAAAGGTGAAACTAATATATGAGATAGACTCATTACATGCAAAGCAAGATAATTCAAGCCGTGATTTTTCATAATTGTGATGATTATGGCTTACAGCTCATGAAAACCCCAAGAACCCCAAATCCACAACCTCAAAAAAGTAGATTATTACATGCAATCAATAAAACAAGGATTGTACATAGAACAATATCGGACCTCTGTAAAGTACAAGCATGCATATGTACTCAGTACTTGGTTTGGGCCCCTTTTGCAGCAACTACTGCAATTACTTTTGCATGATATTCTAATTATTCGAGTTTCACCTGTAGATATATATAGATATATATATATCTTAGTATACAGAACTGTATTGAAGCCATTGCCTAGCCAGCATGGAATTAGGTCAGCCAGATGTTGAGGTATTGCTGTCCCTGTGCAGGCCACCAAATGAGGAATAATGAAGAACCAGACCAGGCAGAATCTGAAATGAAGTTTAATGATAACAGCTAGGAACAAGCAACAGGAAAGATTTAAAAAAAAGTGACTGGCAGGCCTTAATCTGATAGATTGAACATAACCACGCTATAGGCTACAACATGATTGGTTCCCAAGACTTACGTCAATGTCAAGAGACTCTTTGTGGCAGAGTGTCTAAGTCTTTGTGTCTCTTCACACTCTTCTCAACAGTTCTTCTCAGTTTGGGGATGTTGTGCACTGATTCTAATTCTAGGCCAAACTTATTTACTTACAATATAACTAACATTAATGTTATTATTTTTCATACAGTTAGACACGCTTATTGATTTCCAAATTCCTACATGTCTATTAAAATGTATTTATCTACTCTCCTAATCAATAAAAATCTCCACTGGCAGACAGTATCATTCACAATTTACAGCCAAGTTTAAATCAAAGTCAACCAGACTCCTCTTATCTTGATAAGACTTCCCCATCCCAAGATCAGTGACCTGTTGACAACTGTCTGGCACCATGGACTTTATATCATCCAAACCTGCAAGAATACGCTGAATGTCATTCTATTTACTCACCACAGCCATAAATTGTAAAGGTGCCCATACACTGCTCGATTCTCGTACGAGAATCGGGCGAAAATCCCGCGATCGTACGAGAATCGAGCAGTGTGAACTAAGACGTGCCACCGTTTCTACTGTACGGTCGCACGTCTTTTGTCGAGCCAACATGTTCGAAAACCCGCTGAGAATCGTACGATTCTCGCGGGTTTCTAGCCTGCTCGCCCGATAGCTGCGGAGCGGGCCGGTGTGCGCACGCGCACACTACCCGTTCTGCATTGCCATCATCGGAAGCCCGCCCCTCAGCGGGGCGGGCTTTCGATGATCGCAAGTACGATCTGCCCGTCCAAGGCGGGCAGATCGTATGGGCTTTCAAGAAGCATACGACCATCGCAAGACAAAAGTCTTGCGATGGTCGTAAGGTGTATGGGCACCTTAAAAGGACTTGAATTTATTTCTGTGAAAGCAAGAGTTCAACTAAAGTTCAACTGTTGAATGTATAGATCTATATTGTGCGATGCTCTGCAGCATCTAAAACTAAATTACTTAACTGCTTCATAATATTACTAATAATAATGCAGATGCTAATTAATATAAATAATATGAAATATATGGGTCAGTATCAAAATTACACTACATCACATATTTAATTCTGTATAACATTTAAACTTATACCAGGCTCCAACCTAAAGCCTGTGAAAAACTACAAATAGAGTAAAATGTATAGTAAGTTCACATGAAAGCAGAGTTTGTTAGTTTGTGCATGCGCATGGGTATTGTTATATTACTAGTACCTACAGTACAGAATAACTAATTTGTTAGTGTTACTGTCCCTCTAATAGGGCAGGCCATAGAATGCTGTGTTAAAACACTGAGTATCCAATCCAGGTTTACCTCTACCACAGTCTGGACCATGGCAAATCTTCTGATTGGTTATTGGGAGGTTGTAAATCTTGCTCGCTATTGGAAGGTGTTGCGATACAGTACAAAGAGCTATCTCCTAGTGACTTTAGTAAACATGCATCTCCCTCATATTGTGGCTCTTTCCCCAGGTGTTGCATCCATCAGTCAAGAAACTGGACCTCCGTGACTGTGATGTTTCAGACAATGCCCTGCGAGTGATATCGCTATGCAAGCAGCTCAAGAAAATCAATTTAAATTCTTGCAAAGGGGAGGAAAGAACTTCAGTCACTTCAGAAGGTAAGCAGAAATTACAAAAAAAGTCTTCTGCAAATTGTATCTTTGATTGTGATGTAATAATCATTTAATGTACTTATAAAGACTTAAAGTGACACTAAACTCAGGAGATCAATCTTAAAAATGCATTCAAATACCAAATAACAATAAAAACTTATTTGTGTATCACTCAGCTGTAGATCCTCAAATCATCTCTGAATTGGTGCTGACACTGTCCTTCCTTCTGGAGGGTGGCTAGTTTTGTTCCCCATGGTCCCTGTGTGCGTTGTAAAGTAGTCACCGCTCCAAACTCACTCCCGGGATGGACTACAATCTCAATACAAATTAGTAAACTAAACATGAGATTGTAGTCCATCACGGGAGTGAGCTCGGAGCGGTGGCTACTTTACAGCACACACAGGGGCCATGGGGATCAAAGTAGCCACCCTCCAGAAGGAAGGACAGTGTCAGCACCAATTCAGAGATGATTTGAGGATCTACAGCCGAGTGCTGCACAAATAAGATACATTTTTGTTGATAGTTAAGGTACTTGAGCGCAGCTTTAAGATTTCACTTTACTCTACCTATAATGAATCGAGTAACACTTCCCTCTCCTGCTGACTGTGCCGCCAAACACAGCTTTATTGAAGATGAATTGTCTACTAAAGTTTATTTATTAAACCGCCACTTCCCAGGAGTGTTGATCTCCCATGTCCCCCACTGCACTTGGTGGTTGCTCCCACTGACCCCTTCATCAGTACAGATCACAAGAAGGAGGAGGAGGATTTGAGCATTTGTTCAGAAAATTACACCTAAGCCACACCAACATTGTTTCAGATGTCATCAATCTGATCTACAGAATTCACCAACAGCTGTGTAAGGACCATTTCACACAGGCACCTGTCAGTTCCAATCACCAGGGAATCCGTGCACGGAAGTATGGAATGAATGTCACAGCTGTGACATCAGTGTCCATCCTGAAGTTACCAGACCCATGTTAGGTTTATGGAGAGGCAGATGTAAACGGACATGTGTCCCTTTACATCAGATTACCCCCGATCCGTCGCAGTCAAGTTTGCCAGAACAGAACCCTGTTCTATTTTGATTTCCTGGCCTGGACGGAGTTGGGAGTAATTGGATGTAAACGGACCTGCGTCCTTTTAGATCCGGCTGCCCATAGTCTATCATTGGGCTTCTGAGAAACTGACAGGTGTACCTGATCCGACCACCCATGTGAAAGTGGCCATATTTGAGGGTCTCTCTACTGGGATATAAATTGTTTAGGTTGACTCTCATATACATAAGTTATTTCTGATTAATTCTGCTGATTTGGCAGATTAAACTTAAAGTAAGATCTAAATGTGTGTGGCTTTTAAACCTACTCCATAATAAAGCATTGGACTTTCTATGAGTGCCCTGCTGGTTATTTCTGTATCTACAAGTTGGCTAATACTAAAGTCTGCAGGGCCAGATTTTTGCAAAGCCAAGATAGGCTGTGGCCTAGGGTAGCAGGACTGTCATAGGTGGCAACCAGCCATCCATATCAGGTTGCCAATTGCCAGCAACACATCCCTGTGTATAAAGGTTTCCAGTCTTCTGCCCTAAATGCCAGTGGACTGTATCTGTTGTCCCTGCATAGTCAGTGCATTTTTGTTGGTGGACTATCATTCTATGTTCTTATTTGTACCCATGCTTGCAGGCCATGGGTACAGTTTCCTCTACTTGTCTAGTCATCAGTTGTAGGTGTACTCATGCAGGTTGGGTGAACTGTCCCTTCTAACCTTTCCATTTTCACCCTCATTGTGCCATGTACAGCTTTAATACCTAATCTTGTAAGTATAATACTAAGGTAGGTTAAGCAACTTCAGTAGGACGGGGGCAGCAAAAGACAGTTGACCTAGGGGGGTAGGGTCTATAAATTATTTCCTGAATATCTGTATCTCCTGAACTGCCAGTGAAAAGGCCTATTTGGTTAATTGAAAAATACTAAAAATAGAGATTTCCAGCTCAGAAGGGAGAAATTAAACTTTCCGTCAAGTGTCCAGTGGAAAACATAATGGAACTATCTTGCTCTCTGCACTGAATTTGCTATCCAAGGCCGTCGTCCACTTTTCTCCCTTTTTATTGCAGGCATTGAAGCAGTCGCACAGTCTTGTCCTTACCTCCATGAGATCACACTGAAAAAATGCCGCAATATAACCGACGATGGCATCTTGTCCCTCTCCCTGCATTGCCCACTGCTACAGATTGTCAACCTGAGTGGCTGCACCCTAATCTCCGACGTCTCCCTGCAGGCTCTGGGACAGAATTGCCCTCTTCTACATAGCGTGGATTTCTCTGTAACAGCGGTATGTATCGCCTTGTGATCAGAAATACGCTCTTAAAGTGTATCTGTAGCTAATTGTTTTAGCTTTTGTTACAGTCTATGTCCCAATGTCTCACTTGCACAATTTCCTCTTTCTTCATGTAACGAGAGGACGCCGGAGCTAGACGAGTAGCTTCCCATGCGGTCGTTGTAATTAAATGGCCGGCCGGGAGCTTTACATTCAAGAGATCGGGTGTCTCTAGAGAGATCCGCCGTGCCTGATTCGGCCGGGACCGGCGCGGCTGCTCTGTGACAGGAGATCAAAGGGAGATCGGTACACGATCTCCCTCTGAGCTCCTCTCCAGTGCCCGAATGCAGGAAGTGATGTATATTACATAATTTCCGCATTCTGCTGTCACTCTCCAGCTTCAGAAGCTAGCGAGAAGCTGGTGAAGCAGATCTCTGCATCATCAGCTTCTCTGGGGGTCCCTAGGTGACATTAGGGGTCTTGGAGACCCCTGATGTCTCCATGGAGAGGACCTGTCATATAAATTGGCTATCACATAGGGGGATTCATAGCCCCCCCCCATGTGATAGCAGTAAAGTTGAGTGACAAAAAATAAAAAAAAGTGATACAAAAATAAAAAAAAGCATAATTTTTTTTTTTTAAACTACATTTTTTTTAAAATCCCCTGCCCCCCACATACACACGTAAACATGCGTCGGGTGCGCCTACGTGCGAAAACAATGATTGCGCCTATTGTGCCGCACATGTTACATATCACTGCGAACGTCGGAGTGAGAGCAATAATTTTAGGGCCATTAATTACTGATAACACAAGCAAGATATATAGTTACCAAACTCTGATGAGGCACCAACATAATAAATAAAATTCCTTATACCTAATACAATTCTACGTCACATGAATATGTCCCATCATTGCCTAATGAGATAACATGAACACATTAGTAATAATTCTTCTCAGTACTTAGCTTTTTCACTGATGTTGCTTCTTTATTTGGAGATGACTCCAATGGTGCACAGTATGAGTGTAAGGCTGGCCATACACTTATAGATTTCTTTCGCTTAGCCTGTAGGCATAGATGGACGGAGCATGGATGGAAAAATCTTCTATTGTATTCTGGCAGCTCGCTGTACAGGAGACAAAAGTTGATTGAAGAATTGACTCCTGTTGGGTCGGGTGGGGCAGGCAGGGCCACCCAGAGCTCAAATTTCGAAATTCCAGCAGTTTATGGGCAGCTGAACATCCTTATCTAGAGGCATTGCTCCCCACCTAGTATTCAGAACATAAACAATTTGAAGTTTCACAATCCTTTTTCTCACCCCATAAGGAGGCCCTGTACTGCTACAGATAGGAATGAGCAGTGTAATAACTGGGCATTTTGTCTTTACCCACCAATTCTCCATAATGTGTAGCAGCCGCTATCCATAACTTTGCTTTCTGTGCCAAAAAAATCTTTCTATTTATAAAGCGTATAGGTGATTGTATGTGAACTCCATTTAACTCTAAAGCAACCATTTTGTCTTGTCTTTAGAAGTATAATTTTTTTTAAGAATGCTTACAATGCTCCTGAAGCAGTTTTACCAAGATTACGGCTGCTTACCTACAAGTGATCTGGCAGCTATACAGCCGTCTGATTGCTTGTATGGTGCGGCAGAGTATGCTCCACCTATGGGGAATTTGGGGTATTGTAGTTTTTTGCAGTTTCTCAGGTGTATGCAATTTTAACACTTAACATGTTTGGTATCAATTTACCCGACCTGACCCCATATTTTATATTTTACCAACAAATTGGGTATTATATTCTGTTTCTGAAAACTAAATGTCATTTTAGTGTATTTTATCATAAAAATATTGGTTTGATAAACATTTGCACAAATACCATGCGACACAAAAAATTACAACTGTTTTTTTTTTATTGTACAGGACCTTTGCTGTCAGACAATATATCATTGTTTGCGGGTTTTAAGCTGCTTTTCTAGCTAAAAAAAAAAATCAGATTTTATCACGTGTGTGCAAATATTACGAAATTTCTCCGGTCAGCAAGTGGCCCTTTTAACCTTTTTAAGTTTTTCTTTTAACTCCAAAGATACCTATACATTTCCTTGCTGTGTGACAAGTAAAGCTGTGTATGGATCTCTATATATGTTGAGCTGCCTATGCAATAAACAGAACGATACAAGACTCTTTGAGTAACGTGTGTCTCAGCACTGTGCTATGGGTCAGAATTTATACAACAGATAAGCAAGTACTGATGAGTAATACTGTCATTTGTCTGAAGTGGACGGGCAGAAGAGTGATTCATGGGGGTAACCCACAACTGGAGTGCCTATAAACAGACAAGTAGTTTCTCTTGCCTACAAAACTAACATATCAGTTTAGATGGAGTTGTTTCAAGCAGGCCAAGTTTCCCATGAGCATGGTGGGCGTGCTCTTTTCAGTACATGGACTATTCACATTCAATCTCTTCATTAAAATAAAAAGTACCTGCACCCTTTCTAATCATATTTAATTACAATGACATGAGACCTTTAACATTTGAATCCCTAATATGAGTACATATCTGCAATGTTCTCTGATTATGTAGGCGGGACAATAAAGCTGTGATGGGGCCTTACCCCTGCAATGCAAAGGTTATGCTCCTTTTGTTTGAAGGGATTGGTAGTGCCATACTTGCCATATTCATCATTCCCCAGAAGCCGGCACCATTCTCTGCTCTCCAGGGCTCCCAAAATGTGCATTGTACATGACAACATCGGAGAGCAGAAGTGGCTTTTAGGATCTGGTTGTACATAGAGAAGGAAGTCTGCAGCAACGTGGAATAACTATGTCACCTTATTCCTTACGCCTAGACAGCCTACTGAGCATTTAACCCTTGCAGCGCCGAAGTATTGGCAGGTGAGATTTTATAGGTGCCCGCAGTCCAGCTTTATTGTCCCATCTACATAATCAGAGACCATTACAGATATGTAATCATATTAGGGATTCAAATTTTAAAGGTCTCATGTCATTGTAATTAAATATATGATTAGAAAGGGTGCAGGTACTTTTTATTTAAGGAAGAGATTGATTGTGAATAGTCCATGTACTAAAAAGAGCACGCCCACCATGCTCATGGGAAACTTGGCCTGCTAGAACCAGATTCCCAGAAAGTATAGCAGATCCCAGTGGTTCCTTTGCTAACTGTCTTTTATGAATGAGGGTTACTACCAGATCTCATTTAACATGTGTTCCTCACTATTTGTAGGTGACAGATGATGGGGTTTTGGCTCTTGCGGCAGGAAGATGTTCACAAAATCTAAAGGTATGACTGCACAGTTATCTGTGGTATGTAACCACGCTTCTCTTTCTATTCATCTGAGGCAAGGTTTTTTACCTGGAGTGCTGGCCAGTAAAAGCACTTCTTGTTTCAGGCTGACAACAGCAAGCTACTGCCTTGCGAGCAGCAGCAGCGTTGTCACCCTGGCTACATTTTGTTTTATTTTTTAGGCTAAGAACCAACAGGAATTCTAGGCCTAGGGCCAGAGAAGGAGGCAGGTAGGAAGTGAAGGGAGAAAATAAAGGAAATTAAATGGGAATGGAGGGGTTGAGGTAAAAGAAAACAAAGGGAGAAGAGGAGAAGGAAAACAAAGAAGAAGTTAAAGGGGGAAAGAAAAATGGGGAGGATAAGAGAAGAAAATAATTGGGAAAAGCAAGTAGATCACCCAAGTTTTAATCATCAATATGTATTGGTCACAATGCCAGATGGACATTATGTGATATTACAATTGGTTACATGGGTTTGTATAATAAAAGATTTTAGCATATTTCATGAAATACATTCCAGTTACATCCCCCAATGGTTGGATACATAAATGTATATCATCCAATAGAAACTGATTAATTAGCATGGCAGTGAAATAGTTAACTGTCCAAAATCACAAAGTTTCCCCTAAAATTTGGATTATTCCAACCTCAAAAACCGGACCTGTCTGTTTTGAGGTGCCTAAATCTGCTCTGGTTTCAAATTCATGTTACTTTTAAAGGGCTTCATGTTTTTACAGGAAACCATAAGACTTACGATCCAGTCACACCATATCTAGTGCGTTCCGGCACGGTCTGATCCCAGAATGCACTGGATCACATAGATCAAGCTGGGGTGGCGTTCTGGGGCGGGAGGGGGTGTGGCGGTCCCATTCATGTTATTGGCACCTCAGGCATGCCCCCCCACCCGCAGTGCCAACACCCACACAAGGTACAGGAATTACCTTCTGTTCCGGTGCAGTGCGATCGAAAAAAAAAGGCTGCATGCACTATTTTTTCCAATCGCACTGCACTGGAACGGAGGACATTCCTGTACCTCGCGTTCCATTGTGGGTGATCGCACTGTGGGTGGGGGGCATGCCTGCGGTGCTATTGACATGAATGGCACTGAACGTGGCCCCAGAAAGCACTACTTTTGCAGATTGCACTGGACCAGAATGCAGGCACTAATGTGCCACGCATTTGGGTGCGGGTGATCCCACTGCGGGCGGAGGGCGTGGCTTCGGTGCCATTGACTTCAATGCACTGCCACACCCCCCTCCTTCCCCTGAACTCAGGGAGCCGGCTGGAGTGCAACAGTGCGTTCCAGGGCCTGACCGTTCTGAAACAAACTCTTTGTGGTGTGAACGGGCCCTTAGGATGCCAATAGGATGGCACTAGTGCCCCTAGATGGCGCTGATGAGTACAGGAGTTTCTCATACCCGTCAGCACGATCTAGGGGCTCTAGATGCTAACGATTATAAAACTTGAATAAATGATCCCCTAGGTGTAACCCTAACTCTTTCTCTTATTCTTCATAGGAAGTTCATATGGATCGCTGTGTTCATCTTACTGATGACTCGGTGGAAGCCATCTTGACGTGTTGTCCGAACATTTACATCCTGCTTTTCCATGGCTGTCCACAAATTACAGGTCGGTCTTTATCACAAACATAGTTGCCTGGTTGTTATGCTCTTTAGTTTCAATAGCTCGCAAGTCACTGACCCAGAACAGTATACAATTAAGGTGTTCTGACTACAGTAACTTCCTGGAACCAGAGGCAGCCAGGAAACCAGCATTTAGGAGAGCAAATCTCCAAAATGTGTGCTTCCAGTCCCATTAAAGTCAATATAAATCTGAACCTGTTTCCAAAAAGTGTGTATTACAAAGCAGTCATTGGTGCCTTGATCCGCTTCACCATCCGCCGTATTAATTTCCTAAATATCACCATGTGCCACTGCTCTGAAGATAGTGCTAGGTCTTATTTTCGGGGTAGGTCTTACTTTCGGGGAATATTTATTTCCATCCAGAGTTGCATACATTTTTCACCAGGATCTTGTAGTGACGATGGGAGAGTCGGACCTCTGTGTAAAGTCTTCTCCAGCACATCCCAAAGATTCTCAATGGGGTTAAGGTCTGGACATTGTGGTGGCCAATCCATGTGTGACAATGATGTCTCCCCGAACCACTCTTTCGCAATCTGAGGCCAAATCCTGGCATTGTCATCTTGGAATATGCCCGATGTGCCATCAGGGAAGAAAAAATCCTTTGATGGAAAAACCTGATCATTCAATATATTCAGGTAGGCAGCTGACCTCAATTTTTGGGGACATAACGTTGCTGAACCTAAACCTGACCGCAGAAACCCCTGATCATAACACTACCCGAGATCCAGGTGGTGACTTCTTTTGGCCAGGCAGTGTATGTAACTCAATTATCATGCTGATTCTGAGTCACTGCTCCAAGGATACACGTTGATTGCTGTCTTGTGCAAAATAATGCTTTTAATATATTTGCATCAACAAATAGACACTGGAGTGATACATCAAAAGCCGTATTGTTGCAAAGAGATCTCAAGTATTGGATACACTGCTGGATTGATGATACATCAGTTGCTACATATGTTACTGATCACTACCAGCCGTGCTGGGTAATCATGTATCATATATATATTTTTCTATACATTATATTATCAGCCATTGATGGGGTTGGAAGCATTTTAGATATTTTAGATGTCTGTGTATATATGTATTTATCTGTTTTTTCTTGTGAGATTAAAATCTGTGATATATATTTATTATGGTATGATATGTTTTTTGCTCTATGGTGGGATCTCCTTTTTGAGGGTACAATACTTTCTAAATATATGTAACAGGAGGCTTATGAGTGTAATTCTAAATGTACAGTTACATGTTAGCCTCTATCCCTCATTTGTATATATCAAAAAATAAAAAGCAAACCGTTGTTTATACAGTTCAATAGCTTAAACTACGTCTTACACATAAACAAGTGAATGAGTAAGCCGAGCCTCCTTACCTTCTCTAGAACAGATTGGAGTCTCAGTGAGATATATATCGTGCCTGGTACAAGTTAACTTCTGTTGAAGTAACCCACAGTGCTTTGGGAATCCTTTATAACTATTTATTTGTAAAACGATAGATAGAAAATATAAAACATCAGTTTATAGAAACATATAAACTTAGAAAGAAAAGCATTTCAAATTGACCCAAATGTGCTATACTTTCCCTGTAAAAACAAAATATATGGCCAATAATGGTGTATTTCTGTAAGGAGCATGAAAAAAAAAAAATGTGTGCAGTTGTGTGATATCATTTTAGACATGAAAGGTTATAAATATTTGTGTATTGTGACTTCAAGCTACAGCAATACATGAGAATCAAGAACAAGCAAAGTGGCTGAGGCGTGTCCTGTGTCTTTTGGAGAAAGTTCTGTCAGTTTTGTCCTTGAGAACAGTTACAAACAATGAAACAGATTGTTACGGTGTTATGAATTCTTTTTTAGGCTCCTTAGTCTGTGTGATTTTGGTCATTCCTTGTATGCGCTCCAGGAAAATGGCAAGCTCTATTTCCTCCACCCTGAATCTTTTGGCAGCAGATTGTGTTTATCCATTGTGTATCCCTAGTGTACTGCTGATTTGGTGGTTTTATATATTTTGTGCTCTTAGAAATGATCTCAGTTTTTCCTGTTGCAGATGATCCAGTTGTTTACATGCTATGCTCATCATCATCATCATCAGGGAACATCCCTATATACACATACAGAGCTATTTATTAGTAACACTTTACTGCGCAATACTGGGAAGAGCCTCCCTTTGCTCTTAAAACACCCTAAATTTTTCTTTGCATGCTTTCCACATTCCAAAAACCTTCCTTTGAGGTTCTGGTGCATGGTGACATGATTATATCAGACAATTTCTGCAGATTTGTCTGCTGTACATTCATGCTGCAGACCTCCCAATTATTTTGAAACTTCTTATGAAGTTCTGTCTTATCAGAGGGGGAGAGAGGGGTAGGATTCTCTCCCTTGACTCAGTGACTTGTGTGTGTACATTCTAGCTCGAGCTACTGATCTCTATAAATAACAGGCTTTCTACAATAAGGAGAAACTAAAAAACAGCAGAATCTCCACTGCTGGCTATTGAATGTCAGTAATTGACATAGGGGATGCTAGCTGGTTCTGCCTCGCTCTAACTGTTTTGGTCTGGCGCCAGTCTAATCAGGAACCTGCAGGTGTGACTTTCCAAGGGCCTTGGGAGCCGTGACCAGGCCAGCCTAAAGTATTCAGGCCTGTGTAGCACGCATGGGCCATGGGAAAGTGGCTGACTCATGTGGTGAAAGCCTGCAGACAGGAAGAGGGGGAGCTGCCGCCACTGGCATTCCATTTTACAATGTGATCCTTGCTAACCCCCAGTGGTGTAACGCTGATAACTCTTCACCCAGCTCAGTTGATTTTTAAGTCGAGCCAAGTGCTTATAGGGCAACCTACAGTTTGAATTTTGGCTGAATCAGAGAAAATTTGATCTGTCTTTGTTGGTGGTGCTTTATAGTAAGGGTAGTTAAAACACCTCCATTGGGGAGATTTCCCTTTCCTTTTTGTCCCAGATACTCCATAGTAAGTGCCGCTTAGACAGTTGTCAACAGTACATGTGTCTCTATCGGAAGATTCATCATTTGTTCCTGTTATGTTAAAGTGAGTCCAAACCCAAAACTTTTTTTTCTTTTAGTTTTGTGTAGAGTAGGGAAGGTTTAGAACCCCTGCTAGCTTTTAATTGCTGTCTGTGTCCCTGCTGGGAAGATTCACCCTCCCTCTAGTCCTGGTGGCCCTTGCCACTGGGACAGAAAGTGATGGCAAATTAAACATTTTGTCACCAGAACAAGAGGGGAGGGTAAATATCTCAACGGAGACAACTTTTCCAGTGACAGTTAGCTTAAGAGAAGAATTCCTTACTTTATATTTCCAGTCTGGTCCCTAGGAAAGGAAATGTAGGGAAATCTCTCTAAATGTACATAGACAGCAAAGAATAAAATGGCTGGGGGTTACTTTCTTACTTAGTCTATCCAAAACGTAAGAAAAAAAGCCTTGGCTATAGACACACTTTAACCATTAGATTACCCACTGGGGATTACTAGGGACTCGTGTAAGATCACACAAGAGCTAGGCAATTTTCCTTATGTCCTATGGCTTTGGTGTGTGCTGAGAGAAGTAGGATGTGTTGCATTTTTTCTGCAGTGTATCACAACAACAACAAAAAGCAAGCACAGCAATGCATTTTAACAATACTGCAGCATGCGGCAGAGCACGTGCACAGCGCACACCAGCTGGCGCACCTTATGTGCACCCCTCTAATTCTATGTAGCTGTTTTCAGCTGTTTGTATCATTATCAGTTCAATGATTCTTTCAGGTATCTGACATCGACCCTCTCCAAGTCTTAAGGCTTGTTCACACCAAATGCGGTATGTTCCAGAGCGGTAGCTGCTGGAATGCACCGTAATCCCTCACAAAACTTCCCCCTGCGCTCTTGGGCGGGAGGGGTTATTTTTTTGCGTTTGCAGTGGAACGGAACACAAGCAAAGTTTTGCCATGCGTCCGATCGCACTGTGGGCTGGGGGAGGGGGGAGGCGGCGGGAAGCGGTGCTATTGAATTCAATGCACCACCACGCTCCTTCCTGCCCCAGAACGCAGGGGTAAGTTTTGTGAGGGATTGTGGTGCATTCCAGCAGCTACCACTCCAGAACGCACCACATTTGGTGTGAATACGCCCTTGCTTAGCAAAAGGGATGCTTGAATTAGTCTCAGAGCAAATACCCATCTGAACGTGGGAGATATTATCAGAGCCCACCCACCTCATCCTCTGCCATCCTAAACTGTTTTGTGTTTTTTCTTGCAGATCGTTCTAGGGAGGCCTTGGAACAGCTTGTGGGACCAGACAAAATAAAACAAGTCACATGGACAGTTTATTAGCAGCATCACCGGAAGCGATGACAGACCATACGACCCTCTTACACAAAGTCGCAGTCTCTATAGAATTACCATGTGTAGTCAATAACATGGTTTTTGCAACTGACTTTTAACGCACAAGCACTTCAGTTTTTGTCCTCCCTACCAACACTTTCATTCGCTTTAATGTGAAAAATCTATTTTAATACATATGTTTTCATTAATGTGTTTAAATAAAGAGGAATTGTTACTGTATATAATACGTGAAGGTCCAATTTTGTTTGCTTAAAAGCCCTTGTTTTGGTATTGGGATCCAGGTGGGGTACTTTGATTCTCCAGTCTGGGTATGTGTAAATGTAGCATAGCTTAAATAAAGTGCTGTTTGCACAAAACATGCTCCATTCAAAAAAGAAACGTTCTCTGTGCTGAATTTCTCTCTGGCATGCAAGGGGGTGGGGAGGATAATGACCCCTGTCTGTACTGTGCTGGCTCCAGATCTCCTTGTCAGGTGTAAACTAGATTTGAACACTGTCTGTCCTAACAAAGGGGGATCTAGAAGAATTGTATGTTAATAAAAGGAAGGATCATTCTGTCCCTGGTCTTCGTATTAGGACAGTCAGAGCTTCCCATTACTGAAATTCAGAGATCCTTAAATTGTAAGAAAACATTTAAAAACATTATTTTTAGATATGCTGTGTGGATAGAAAAACATAAACATATAGAGGGTCTTCCTCAATCTTGACTGCAAAAGTGGAAATACAAAAAGCTGGCCGCTGGAAATTCAGCACGTTCATCAGACTAAAGCTGACCATACCTGTGGCAATTTTCATTGAGTTTCAAAAACATCCATCCACCAAGAATCTCCAATACGATTGCCAGTAATCACTAAAAACGTAGCCATCTACTACACAGAAGTAAGATCGACCACCAGAAGTTGGATGATCATAAAGTCATGGAGAGTTTCAATATAGTTTATTGATTGTATCTCAAATGCGAAAAAAAAACCTACAGCAGTTGTTTTTTTTTCTTTTTAAAGTGATTGGGTTCACTTGGGGCGTCTACTTGCAGTTGACTGAAACTACTATTTTATGCCTTCAATTGCTTTACGTATTCAACAAAAGAATGTTAAAGTGTGATTGCTCCATCAAATCACAACGTATATAGCTTAAGCTTAACAGTATAGCCCGTGGCAAGTCCTGTCTTGATGCAGTGGGCTCTCTGCTCCAGATTGGATTAGGTCAATGAGAAATAATAAGATATGAGCTAATATTCTGTTATATATTCAAAGTAAAGGAAACTATTAGGGATGCACCGATACCAGTATTTCGGTATCGAGTACGAGTACCGATATTTATTTATTTTTTTTACTCGCCGATACCGAATACCGATACAGGAGATCCTATTCAGGAAGCCAAGCGGTGTGTAAAGACTAGCCACCCGGCTTCCCGATTAGCAGGGAAGCCGTCCCCATGTTTCTCGTCACTAGGTGACGAGAACGCATGGAGCCGGCTTTCTGGCCAATCAGGAAGCCGGGTGCCATGTAATGACGCCACGCCCGGCTTCCTGATTGGCCGGTAGGCCAGCTCCACGCCCCTTCGTCATGAGGTGACGAGAGAGCATGAAGCCGGCTTCCTGGCAAATCAGAAAGCCGGGCGCTGCGTCATTACACGGCGCCTGACTTCCTGATTGGCCAGCTTCCCGACCAATCAGGAACCCTGGCAGCGAGTCAAGTGACAAGGAGCATGGAGCCGGTTTCCTGGCCAATCAGGGAGCCAGGCAGCGTGTAATGACTCGCTGCCCGGCTTCCTGATGCCAGAAGTATCGGGTTGTACGAGTACTCGCCCAAATACTCGGCATCGACACCGATACCAGTATCAGTATCAGTGCATCCCTAGTAACTATAATGGATTTGGAGTCATTTGATTTTTTTTTTTCAGTTTAAACTGATGCTTGACTAGCAACTTCAGCGTGAAATTATAGCTAATTTACCTACAAACGTCAGGTGGTCATAATAGTCTGGCCACTCAGTGTATAATATATATAACAGAAAATCACAAACTGAGAGGCTGTCATTGGTGCAGACTAACTCCGGGGGACTTCACCAATCAGTGTGTGAGTCTGGGCTTCTGCTGCGTTGCTGTACATTTAGCGCAGTTGCTTCAGATCATCTCCTGCCCCATATAACCTTGTGGAAAGCTACTGTGCTTTACAGCCAACGCATGTAAAATCAGCAGCCACGAGCATGGGTGCAAGGTAAGTATACATCAGGGAAGTGGGGGCTAGTATAGCACTGTGGAGGGCAGGGGCAAAAATAATAAGTGCATTGTGAAAGTGCACTTACCAAATAGGACAGTGGTAGCCAAACTGAGGCCCTCCAGATGTGGGCCGACTACAAATCCCATCATAGATCTGCCTTTGGATGTCATTCCTGTGGCTGTCGGTCTTGCAATGCCTCATGAGACTTGTAGTTCTACAACAGCTGGAAAACCGAAATATGAGTACTCCTGTTTTAGGAGGAAGTGGTTTAGAATTAGGGACCCCACTTTACAGAGGTGACTCCATGCGGCAGTATGGCTTTGGAAACTATCTGGTAGTGCAATCGTATGTGATATCACATAGCACAGACTTCATTGAATTCTGATTCTGGCTTTAGGGCAAGTTCACACAATTTTCCAGACCAGATCTGGTTCGGAAAATAGTGTGAACCTGCCGCAGTTCCAGTGCATTTCAGACCAGACAATGAGACGTGCAGTATTTTTCTGGTCTGGTCTGGAACGGACTGCGCTAGTGTGAACAGAGGCCAGAAATAGCATAGGTATACATTAGGATGCATTTTGGGTCTGGAAACAATCTGGAGATGATGTGGTGTGAATGGGCCCTTAATGAGTTTAGTTGGTACATTCAGGGCTTGTTCACACCATGTCCGGATCATGTCCAGTCCAGAACAGTTTGTTCCCGGACCTAAAAAGCACCCCAATGTATCTCTATCGTATTGGGCTCTGTTCACCGCAGCGCAATCCATTCCGGTCCAGACAAAAAAAAAAATACTGCTGGTCTCATTTTCTCTGGGCTGGAAAGCACTGGAACGCATGGAAATGCATCCAAAATGCATGCAAATGCACTGGACTGTACCTGAAAGCCCATTTTAAGCTAAAAGAAACCCACGGTAAAAAAAACAGCAAAAATGCACTGCACTGCACTGCGTTTGCAGATCTGGTCCGGACATGGTGTGAACAAGCCCTTATACTGTTTGACAAAACAAATAGAACAATGTGATATCAAGGTACAAGGTGACATGGGAAACATTGATCAAAGTACAAGCTGACAAGCAGACACATAAGAAAGAATTTCTAGGTGAGAGATCTTAGTGAAAGTAACAGTGTCATTTGCATTCCATATTACATAGGTCAATACAATTTATACATAATACATTTATAATCTTTGTCACTTCCCCTCTACTGTCCCTTATTAAAGATCTACACAATATAGTTGATAGCCAGATACTTCTTCCAATACGTAGACTATACATAGATCTGAAGAATTATGTGGAAAAAGTCCAGTGTGTAATTTTAAGGATTACAAATCATTCGGAATCAGGTGTAGTGGATATAAACATAATATGTAGCTTAAGGTGCCCACACACCTTGCGATAATCGTACGGTAATTGCGGGAAATCCCGCGATCGTACGATTATCGTAAGGTGTGTGGAAGCCGTGTAACCTCTACTACTGTAAGGTCGCACGACTTTTAACTTACGAACATGTTCGAAAACCCGCCGAGCATCGTACGATGTTCGGCGGGTGTGTAGCATGTTCGTACGATAAAAGACGGACGGGCTGGTGTGCGCAAGCGCACACTGCCCGTTCGGCATTGTGGTCATGGGAAGCCCGCCCCTCAGGGGTGTGTGGCTTGCGATCATCGCAAGTACGATCTGCCTGTCCAACATAGGCAGATCGTACGTTTTTTTAATTACCTTACAACCATTGCAAGACAAAAGTCTTGCGATGGTTGTAAGGTGTGTGCCCAGCATTAGAGGTAGAACACTTTATGATTCCACAGATATATCTACCTAATCAGGCATAAATGAAAGGTATGAGTGGTGAGTGGTAGGAACATAAGTATGTAAACTCCTACTTCCTGTAACTAAGTGCCTATGGCATGATGGAAATTGCCTATTCTTCCTAAACCTTTGAATGGATTCCAACCATCCTTGGCAATGTTCCCTGCCTTATGTTGTATTAGGTAATTTCTGTAAGTGTGCCTCTATTAAATATTCCTTATCAGATATCTATGTACAGCATTTATTACCTACAAATTTACAAAATTCTCCTTCTGATGCCAATAGACAATCTTTTTGTGTAGCATGAGTTCAGATAGTAAAAAGATTGCATCTGTGGTTTAATTTACAATCTCATCTATGATATTGGACAAATTATTTATTTATTCTTCATCATAGGCCCCCCCACCCTGCGTACTGAGGGAAGAAGGTCCACACTCTATCAGCTGTTTCAAATAACTCTCTTTTGTCCTCCTTTCCCCTCTATATTATTTGAGGGTGATATACACCATCTATGTCTTCCTTCGTGACATAAGCAGCAGGTGCAAATGTTACCAAGGTGCAGGTACCGGAAGCATTCATATGCATTTATACACCGTATATGCAGCAGTTCTACACAGGGTGTAAATGTCACGGGGTGGTCCCAGACAAGGAAATCTTGGGACATCTATTCTTTGTATCACTGAGGAAGAAGGATGTATAGGTTTGACTTCTTTATTATTCAAAGAGTTCTCTATGGCTACAATTATACGTCACAACTCTGATTTTCATAGTTTCTGCTTCTGGTATACTTGTGTATAATCTTTCTGTAACTTTAGGATCTAGGCCTTCTAAAAATGTATGTGTTGTCAACGCTGTATCCTCATCCTCCACTACAATCATTCCTGCATCTTCTGCTGCCTCCCTTGTCCTTTTCCAAAATGCACTTGCGGGTTTCCCTTTACTTTATACTCCTGTCATAAATTCTGCTTAATGACTGGCC